GCCATTAGCCTTCTTGGCTACAAGGGCACACTGTTGACTCATATCCAGCTTCTCATCCACTGTAACCCCTAAGTCCTTTTCTGCAGAACTACTACTTAGCTGGTTGGCCCCCAGCCTGTAACAATGCTTGGGATTCTTCCGTCCCAAGTGCAGGACTCTACACTTGTCCTTGTTGAACCTCATCAGATTTCTTGTGGCCCAATCCTCCAATTTGTCTAAGTCACTCTGCACCCTATCTCTGCCCTCCAGCATATCTACCTCTCCCCCCAGCTTAGTGTCATCTGCAAACTTGCTGAGGGTGCAATCCATCCCCTCATCCAGGTCATTAATAAAGATATTGAACAAAACCGGTCCTAGAACCGATCCTTGGGGCACTCCAGTAGAAACCGACCGCCAACCTGACATCGAGCCGTTGATCACTACCCGCTGGGCCCGGCCTTCTAGCCATCTTTCTATCCATCTTACCGTCCATTTATCCAATCCACATTCCCTTAACTTGCTGGCAAGAATATTGTGGGAGACCGTATCAAAAGCCTTGCTAAAGTCAAGGTATATCACATCCACTGACTTTCCCATGTCCACAGAGCCAGTTACCTCATCATAGAAGCTAATCAGATTGGTCAGGCACAACTTGCCCTTTGTGAATGTGCTGCATGCAGCTGAGAAAGGAGACGTGGGTTTCCCTGTCTGAGATGAAGATGACAATTTTCACCTTTTTTTTTTCCTTCCTTACAGGAAGTTCCTGACCCGGGGGGACAAGGAAAGTATCTTCACCATGGATCACTTCCCCCTGTGGTATCGCCGAGCAGCTGAGCATCCCCCTGGGAGCTTCATCTACAGCATCACCTCAGAAGAGGGCTCAGGTAACCCTCACTTGAGTACTAGAGCAAAGGAGGGAGCTGGAGAAAAATTGTCACTCATAGTTCCCCATGCCCTCTCCCCAACCCATTCATCTTCATTATCCTCTTCCTGAAAGACTGAGCTCTTGCCCAGTGGCAAATGATAAGAGCCATCCTCAGGACACTTCTTAGCCCAGAAAGAGGCAGACCTCTTACAGCAAGACGTGGACAGGAGGTGAGGAATGGGTGGGGATGCAGGGTCTGGAGCAGGACTGGGCTGCTGAAAGATACATGAGTCTCCTGGGCAGGGGAAGACACGGAATCAAGTCAGGGGATATAGTGGCAGTGGGGGGCGGGGGGAGAAATGTGTGGCGAAGGGGAGGAAAGGCAGGTAGACTTGGCTGGAATGATTTGAATGACAGTCAGGTAGGACACAAGCAGAGGGACAGGTGGGATGAAGCAAATTTTCTCCAGGAGTCGCTTTTCTTTGTTTTCCACAAAATTTTTCGCAAGTGGGAAAATGAACTTTTCACAGGAGGTAGGGGAATTTCATTCCCCTCATCCAAAGTATTTCAGTGGTCCCCACCAAACATGCTGAATCTCCTGCTGACTGTGTAATGTGAGTGAGGAGCCCACGTGACAGCTGACTTGCAGCTTTGTTGTGTCTGTTCCCAGTATGTGATTGCCCCTGTGAGATCTCCAGAACCTGCAGGGACCTCTGCAAGGGCAGAGGAGGACAGGAGAACCCGGGAAGAAAAATCAGAACAAAGTACTATGTGACACTCGTACAACAGAGGCAGAAATCCCCTCTGTGCTCTTCCCCAACCCACCGCGCTCAGGCATTGTCACAGAGTGCAGCGCTTTCTCTGCAAGAGCTTTTTGTAGCATTGTGGTGGGAGGGTAGGTGGGTGGGGAAGTGAGCAGCATGGAGAAGAAAATGAGGATGGGATCCAGAAGATAAACCAGGGTATAAAGGGAGGGGAAGAGAGAACATTAAACCTTCCATCTATGTTCTCGCCTCCTCCCTGCACCAAAGTAGACGCCTCACTGAAAGGATAAACACCAGAGTGAAGGGCAAAGGTAGCAGTCGTGGCAGGAGGCATCATGTGCCAGACTACATGCAATTTGCATTGCTTTTTGCAAGAGAACAAAGCTTTAAGAGCCGGGCATTGGCACCCCACATGGAAATCCCTGCAGCATCTAATATGAGAGCAGCACGCACCTTCATCCACTATGCACAGTAACTCTTGGGACCAGGTATCAGTTGCTAGTAGGGATGTTAGGGTATGTCTACACTACAAAGTTAATTCGAACTAACAGACGTTAGTTCGAATTAACTTTAATAGGCGCTACACTAGCGCTCCGCTAGTTCGAATTTAAATCGAACTAGCGGAGCGCTTAGTTCGAACTAGGAAAACCTCATTTTACGAGGATTAAGCCTAGTTCGAACTAGCTAGTTTGAATTAAGGGGTGTAGCCCCTTAATTCGAACTAGTGGGAGGCTAGCCCTCAGAAGTCGGCTTTCTTGTAATTTCTCATTTTGGGAAAAAAATAGTTTGTCAGTAGAGTAATTTGAATTACTGCCCTGGACCGCAAGAGGAGGGCACCTTCCTGGGCTAGTGAGGACATCGTGGACCTCGTCCACGATCTCCGCACTAGGCACAGGAAAGTGGCCGTCTAGGGCAGGAGAGCTGCCAGCCTGGCCACCCAGGACCAGGTGTGCATGAAAATCAAGGGGGTCCACTGAGACCCCCGACACTGAGCCCTGAGCTTACAATGGCCGTCCTGGGTCAGACCAAAGGTCCATCTAGCCCAGTAGCCTGTCTGCCGACAGCGGCCAACCCTAGGGACCCTGGAGGGGATGGACCGAAGACAATGACCAAGCCATTTGTCTCGTGCCATCCCTCTCCAGCCTTCCACAAACTTTGGGCAGGGACACCACTCCTACCCTCTGGCTAATAGGACTCCATTGACCCAACCTCCATCACTTTATCTCACTTCCCTTTAAACTCTGTTCTAGTTGTAGCCTTCACAGCCTCCTGCAGCAAGGAGTTCCACAAGTTGACTCTTTGCTTTGTGAAGAATAACTTTCTGTTACTAGTTTGAAGCCTGCTACCCATTCCTTTCCTTTGGTGTCCTCTAGTCCTTCTTTATGGGAACTCAGGAAGAACTTTTCTGAATGCACCCTCTCCACCCAACCCCTGCTTTTAGAGACCTCTATCCTGTCCCCTCTCCGTCTCCTCTTTTCTAAGCTGAACAGTCCCAGTCTCTGTAGCCTTTCTTCATCTGGGACCTGTTCCCAACCCCTGATCATGTTAGTTGCCCTCCCCTCTCCCAGCCTTTCTCTTCCCCTCTCCCACCTCCTTTTCCCAGTCTCCCCCAGTTTTTTTCAATAAAGACAGAGTCAATGTTGGAAGAAACGTTGTTATCTTTATTTTGTACATCAAGAAGAGGGGCTAGGGAAGGGTAAGTGGAAGGAGGTGAGGGAGGAATGGGGCACGAGCCCCCGATGGGGAGGACTGGGCTGGCTCTGCGGGCTTCTGGGGGTGGAAGCTCTCCTGCAGCCTCCCAATTACCCCCTCTCCCCAGATGACAGCTTGCGGCAAGTGCAGCCGGGCTGATGGCCGAGTGCTGTGATGTGCCCAGTGTGGGTAGTCCGGGCACTCCAAGCCAGGACTGCTTTGCAAGCGGGGCACCCTGATTACTGTCTGTCCGGGGTGGGGGTCGGGACCTTTTAAGCACAGCCCTCGGCTAGCCTGAGACAGCATCTCCACGCTCTAAGTCCTCCTCTGATGCCCTGCCGGCACTGCTTCCGGCCATCCTTAACCCCGGTTCAGGGTCCACTTAATGTGGACATGCTAGTTCGAATTAACAAAACGCTAATTCGAACTAGTTTTTTAGTCTGGATGCGTTAGTTCGAATTAGCTTAGTTCGAATTAACTAATTCGAACTAAGTTAGTTCAAACTAACGTTGTAGTGTAGACGTACCCTTAAAGTTTAACCGATTAACAGTTTAGCAATAAGCTTATGCTTATCAGTTAATGGTGTTGGTTAAACTCAGCCATCTCCTGGGGAGGTGGCTTCACTGTGGCAGGGCAGCGAAGCACTCTGCTCCCAGGGAGGAGACTTCCCTGCAGGCCCTGGAGTATAAAGCTAAGCTTTATACTGCAGAGCCCCCAGCACATGGAACTGTGTAACCAATCAGATTTTTAGCAGTTACGCAGTTACCGAATTACACAGTTTTTTACATCTCTAGTTGCTAGTCACTTTGAGACAGATCCTGCAAACGGTCCTTGTTCACCTATAACCTACCTGATGCCAAAGGTAGCGTAGCCTTGATAAGGACTTTGTAAAAGCTTATGATTGTTTAGTTGATGGTATCTCTTAGCCACAACCAAGCTCAGGGCCCCACTGTCCAAAGCACTGACACATGGGTAAAGACATTCCCTGCCCCCCAAAAAACATGTTCTAAATAGACAAGACAAAGAGTGGGGGAGGAAGGAAGAACAGCTTCCTTAGGGGTCATATGAAATCACAGAGAAATCACACATTTTTCACAGGTGGCTCACAGCATAAATAGCTAATTTCAGGAATAGTACAGTATTGTCATCCTTACATCTGTGTTGCTGGACTCTGTGCCTTTGGAGCTGAGTAGCTGGAGACCAGGCTTCAAGGGATTCCGTGGTCTCTGATGTGATATTCAGACCTGCAAATCTGGTAGACCCTTAATTATATTCCCCTTTTTTACAGATGAGCAATTGTAAGCACAGAGCGATTGTCATTTGCCCAAAGGTTACATATTAAGTCTGTACCAGAACTGGGAGTGGAACACAGATCTCATGAGTCCCCAATCTAATGCCTTCACCATAAGATCATGCTTCCTGTATCTACGTGTATGACCCGGAGGACCAGGAACCTCACATGACCTCCCTCCAGAAAGTTTGATCCTTCATTTGTTGTCTAACTGAATCTCCCCCTTTCCCCCCACAGGCGTCACAGAGAGTTTTGGGTTCACAAGGAGGGCAGGATCAGGCTCAAAGTATATGAACATCATCTGGCAGGGAAGGCCTTGTGTTTTGCAAGTGCTTCTCTAGATGTGTGCTGTGCCCTTGTGTAAGTCGGTCTGACTTCAGTCAAAAAAATCCGCTCACACCCCAGGGCTAAAACACAAAGTCATGCTCAGGACGCATCAAACACCGACCAGAATGATGATGGCAGACGTAAGAAAATGACAAATGCTGGGACTATGGGGAAGTAAAAAGGACCTAATCCATCTGCTGGGGCAAAGCACTGAACTCTACGATATGTTGCAAAGGAATGAGTGGCAGAATAAATATGCTCAGAAATACTGACCTTCAAAATGTCCCTGGTAACTGTGTAAAAAGAAACCGCAGGCCCTGTTTTTTTGTTTCGCGCAAATGCAATATAATCATAAACCCTACACAACCGTGACCCGTCCCTAGGACAATCACAGACTAAAATGATTGAGTTCAATTTAGAAAATGGCACGGTGCCTAAAGTGCAGTTCCCATCAGACGACATGGGCAATCATGGCTTTTGTATCCAGTGTATCCACAGCCCTCACGGAGCCAGACTGTGATGGTCTTTTCTTGGCTAAGGAGGTTTGGGGTAGAAATTCTTCCTCCGAATAGGGCTGATGCATCCACAGAAGCAACTAGCTCTGTCTTCCGTGCACATAGGAAGCCCTGGGAGAGGTTATGCCTACCTGAACTACAACCCCTCCTGTGCCCCTCATGGGACAGGGTACATGGCCCACAAGGTCTTTTATGCAGAGCTGTTCTATAAATGGCACAATCTAGTCCAAGATTAGAATTGTGTTTGCCTCACAATAATTGCTGAAGCATGTGTGTCCATTTGCTCATGTGACACTGCCCAACTTTGTGTGTGTATCAATGCATTCTGGGGAAATCTGGGTAGCTGGCATATACCTTCTCAGTAGAAGACAGTGTAGAGGACGTGCACACGGAGAGACATCAGTGGTATGAGGTGTAATGAGCGCTGAGGCACCCAGAAAACGAGGAGGAAAGAGGACTGGCTTACTTGTGTGATATTCTTTTAGGCCTAACTGAACCCAAAACTTCTGAACAACCATTTAGGATGTTTCCGTATTCTGGGAGATGCAGACATGCGACTAGAGTTTAGCTTTTCAGTGTTGGGCTATCCTTTGTGTACCATTATCATGTGACCTCCTCACGCACAAAGTCTGTGTCAGAGATGGCTACTTCAGTGATCCCAGTGTTTTTTTTCTCTGGAAAGTAAAGAGCTCTGGAAACAAAGGGACAATAACTGAGTTTGCTACATCTGTGTCTTGACAGAGGGAGGTAGCAAACCAGACGTGGTGACAGTGAGCACATCTGTTGCTGTTTCCGTGGATGGGAAGACGGCTATTGCTGCAGGTAGGAACTGCCAAGAACAAGGGGTTTGGTTTGTTTGTTTTTTTTAAATAAGAGGGTACAATGTCTTGCAGGGGAAACCTTCCTAAGAGAGGGATGACTTGTGATATCAAAAACTAGACTGGACAAAGCACTCGAACATAAGCAGTAGGCTCAATTCTGCATTGGGTGCAGGGTGAGGGACTCGGTGAATTAACAAGACAAATTCCATTGCTGGTATCTATGATTCTATGCATTGGTGTAGTCTTTGACTGTAGAGCAGAAAGCTTGCACAGTGGGTAGTTTTGGAGCTTTGAGATCATTGTGCTGCCTTGGGGTCAATGGAATATTTGTGGTGCTTACACGGAGTTTCAAAAGAATGAGATGTGCCTGTACCTTCAGGACCAGAAGAGCTGGAAACTGACCGTAGATGGTGAAGTGGATATTCTGCTGACTTCGAAATTCTCTTCTGTAAATTCCTACTGTTCCCTGTAAATCTGAGCCTTGGGCCCCCTCTGAAGGAGTTTCACTGAATTCCATGGGCATTATTGGAAGATAATGATCTCACATTTATAGAACACCAGGTCTTCTTCTAGGATGCCATCCAGACCAGAGACGGGTTGTGTCATTGCCTGCTCTGTAATACATACTGAGTGTCTGAAAGTGCTCTTCTGATGTAGTTGCATGACTGGATGCTCCAGCCAGCAGACAAGTGTGCACAGAGTGTCTGTGTGTTAAGCAACCCTCTCTTTCCAGCAACCAGCTTGTTATCCTGCTGCCACACTCTGGCTTCCCCCAGTCTTAGTTATATCTGGCAAGATGGTCCCAATGCCCCTCCCCAACCCTGAATTTCCCCAAACCGTGTGTTCTGCAATATTCAGCCCTCTCCTGGACCATTCAGAGAAAATTATTAAGGTTTGTTTGTTCCTTTAAAGGTATAGTCCCCAGCAGCTTGCAACATTAACTGGAGTGACCATTCACTTTAAATCAAACACAGCACTGGGTTGGCTTAGATTCAAGGTAAAACAAGTCTATTAACAAAACAGTGAGTTCCAATATAAAGGATAGTTAGAAGCGGTTACAAGCAAATAAGAATGTTTTCTAAAGGCTAGGACTTAACAGAACAAGCAACAGCCTTTATTCTAGGTAGTTTCCTTATCGGTCTATCTTTTCCAGCAAGTTGACGAACCACTCCTGTGGTCAGCATCTCCCAGAAAATCTAGAGTAGTTGGTTCTGCTGTCTTAGCTGAACCTTGTGGTTCTTTGCACCTCTTTTTATAGTCCAGTGCACCATTAAACTGGATTTTTCTGAGTTACCACCAAGGTAATGTTCAGTCAGTTTCTCAGAAGGGCAACATGGAGTCTCCTGGTGAAGCTCCTTTCACTGATGTTTGCTCAGAAGGGCAACATGGAGTCTCCTGGAGAAGCGCCTTTCACTGATGTTTGTTAATTGGAAATTGATCTGTTTTCTGCATTCTCCTCTCCCTTCTGTAATGCTGACAGGTTGTCTCCTTTCCTTGTCCACGCCATGCTACCTTCTGGCTACGTCTACACTGGCATGATTTTCCGGAAATGCTTTTAATGGAAAAGTTTTCCGTTAAAAGTATTTTCGGAAAAGCGCGTCATGATTGGCAGGATGCTTTTCCAGAAAAGCACTTTTCCCGGAAAGGCATCCGTGGCCAATCTAGACGCGCTTTTCCGCAAAAAAGGCCATTTTCGCAATCGGGGCTTTTTTCTGGAAAACAGTACTGTGCTGTCTACACTGGCCCTTTTGCGCAAAAGTCTTTCGGAAAAAGACTTTTGCCCGAACAGGAGCAGCATGGTATTTCCGGAAAATCACTGACGATCTTACATGAGATTGTCAGTGCTCTTCCGGAAATTGAAGCAGCCAGTGTAGACAGCTGGCAAGTTTTTCCGGAAAAGGGGCTGCTTTTCCAGAAAAAGTGGCCAGTCTAGACACAGCCTCTATGTATATTGCATTCCTGTTGTCTGGAAATACCTCTCTGTGACAGAACTGCAATCTCTTATTCTAGAGTGGGATAACTTTAGCCCTGCCTGACAGACACATTTTAAGAGAATAATTCCCAATATGTTTGACTTTAAATTTTCCTCCATACATGCACCACATAATAATATTAATGATCAGTATGATATTAGCTTTGTATTGATATCATACATGATACTTTTTAGATACAGGTTATGACATTAGTGCACTGGGGTATATTCAACTTGTCTATCAGCTGAAACTCACTGTCCGATACCAATGAGCTCTTTGTCCTCTGACTTTAGGATGCTGGTAGGGTCACCTGCTCTTCATTCCAAAAGATCCCACATTTCTATATAAATTCTGCAGTTATCCGGTATTTACCACTGGGGTGAAAATGGAGAAGCTGTTTAACAAATCAGAGCAATTCTAAACAATTTACAGTACATCCCACCTCCAGCAAAAACTGCAGAGATAACGTAAGGCGGCAATTGGCAGTTTCTGTTGTGCTTAAGATAAAATAGGAAAAAATAGTTGAAATGTTAGGGGGAATTTTATAACTTCAGTAACAGAACAAGTTGCCAGAACAGGTTATAGAGTCACTGTAACTAGAGACAGTCTGGTTACAGCCAGGGGTTGACAGCCATCGACCAAAGAGTGTTTAAGAATAATTAAATCAAAGATGGTATAATTCAGGAAGTTGGACTAGACGGCACGCTAGATGTAGCTTCTAGGTCAAATGATTATTTTCACTGTCCGTCAGTCTTCCCCTTCTTTTTTTAGGTGGATAGGTTGCCTTTAAAATCTGTAAGAGACTCTGCATCTCCTCATGATCAGGGTGAGGTGATGTGGGTGGTAAAAATTATAATGTCCTGATTGCATTGGCATTAAGTAGTGGTACTGGGTAAGAAGATCACGATCACAAACAAGGTTGCTTGTGTCCATACTGGGTGAAGACTGGGTGAAGACTGCAAAGGGCAGGTGGTGTAAATTATCATGGTTCCATTGAAGTTAAAAGAGCTTTGACTATTTACACCTCTTGACAGTCTGTCCTTCAAAGTTTTCAGATTTTTAATATAATTATTGAAGCTAAGAACACAAAAGCAACAATACTGTGCCCTACCAATGATCTACCTACCTCAGGATCCTGGCTTTTGACAGTGGCCAGTCCCCAAATTTCAGGGGGAGTATTTAGAACATGGCAATCTTGAAAAGATCCATCCTGTCTTACCCTCCTTGCTTCCAGCTGTCAGAATTTAGGGTCGCATAGAGCATTAGGTTATGTCGCTTACCACCTTCACTAGCAGTCATGGATGGACCAATTCTCTATGAACCTATCTAGTTCTTTTTGGACCTACCTAGATCTCTTTGGTTATACATTGGGCCATTAGAACAACTCATGGCAATGAGTTCCATAGATTAGTTTTGTATTGTGTGTTATTTATTCATAATAAACCTGCCACCTATTAACTAGGGATGTAAAAGCCTGCTTAAATCAGTTAACTCATTAAATGTTGCATTTGACCAGTTAACCGATTATGTGGGATCCTGCAGATGGGGGACCTGGCCCAGCCAGAACAGCCCTTAGTCAACAGCAGTCTCTGAACAGCCTTGGGTTGGTAATAATTTTAAGATTACTTATGACCTAGATTGGATTTGAAATGGTGGTTTAGCAGTGGAAGAATCCATATTATATCATCACTCCTCTGAGAAATCGTTTGTTCCTCAATGACAATAACACTCTGAAAGGGTTTATTTTCCCTTCAATTTCAGTGGTTCACAGTAATACCAGGGTATAAAATATTTAGGAATGACTGCATATGTTGCTTTGGTAGGAGAGTAGCATTATATGTAAAAGAAAGCATATATAGCCAAATACAAGCCATCCTCGCTATAAGTCCAAGATGCGTTCCAAAAAACTTGGACTTATAGCAAAACAACTTAAAGTGGGGAATTTTTTTCCCGCAGCTGACTTCCATTTAAGCAAATTGAGGGGAGTGTTTTGCATGACTTATAGTGGGGAATGGGAGGACTTACAACACATCAGTTCCTACAAACGTAAATGACTTTAGTGTGGAATGGATGTATATCGGAGCGACTTATAGTGGTGACGCCCTGTATGGTAAAAATTTTAAATAAAGCAAACTATACCATAGAGTCTCTATGGATAGAAATTCCATGTTTGAATAAAAATAATACCCAAATCAGGAAAGGCAATAAAGTACCAAAAGAATGCCACCATTGATGCAAAAAGGCATCTTTTAAAAATTGGAAGTCAAACCCTAATAAGGATAATATGACCGAGCGCAAACTCTGACAGCTTAAATATAACAATGTTGCCGAAGAAAGCATTTGAGAAGCAACTTGATAATGATGTAAAAATAAATAGGATTATTATTAGAGTTATTTTAAGTGCATAAAAAGCAGCAATTCTGCCAAACAGGCAGTGGGCTCACTAGATGACCAAGATGTTAAAGGAGCACTCAAGGAAGAAATGGGATAAGCGAGAAGGTCCTCTCATAAGTCAAGAGCTGGTTAAAAGTAGGAAACAACGAGGAAGAATAAATGGTGAACTTTCAGTCAAGAAAGGTAAGCTGTGGAGTCCCCCATGGATCTGTACTGAGACCTCTGCTGTTGAACATACCAATAGTTTGGAAAAGGGAGTGAACAGTGAAATGGGCATGTTCTATGGGCAAAAGTTTGCTAAAGATACATAATTATTCAAGACAGTTAAGTCCAAAGCTGGCTCTGAAGAGTAACCCAGGAATCTCAGAAAACTGGGTGACTCACAACAAAATGGCAGATGAAATTCAACAGTGATAAATGCAAAGTAATGCACATTAGAAAAAATATACAGGCAGTCCCCGAGTTACGTGGATCCGACTTACATCGGATCCGCAGTTACAAATGGGGCTTTTCTCGCCCCGGAGGACAGGAGCGGCGGGACGCCCAGATGTGCCACGGTCCGCCGCCCCCGTCCTCCGGGGCGAGAAAAGCTGCTCCCCATCTCCCTGGTCTGCAGGGAGATGGGGAGCAAAGC